TACTACCACAGAGCGAAATCTTGCCTCTTTCCCAGCGGCTTGCATGGCTCGAAGCTCGCGACCTGGAAGACCGGTCAGACTGGGTGGCACGATTCAGGGAATCCTCCAAATCCTTGGGGGAGGTCATCAAGGAAACCTGCCTGGCACGGGATGCCCATTGGATGCCGCATGCTGTCACTGGAGGAACCAGGGCAGAAGCGAGCAAGGCTACTCCAATGCCCTCATCCATGACTCCGTTGCCCTCTCAGTTCACTTTGGGAAAGGCGGTGAATGGGAAGAAGGTAGCCAAGACCATGAGGGATGGCACGAAAATCTGCCAAGCTTTCCAACATGGGCAGTGCAAGAATCCCAAAGGCTCATGTCCTCAAGGACAGCACAAGTGTGGTGCGGTTGTCCGGGGCGAGCGAGTCTGCGGTATGCCGGGGCATGGTGCTGGCCAGTGCAGGGCCAAGGTATCGCCATGACGGTGCCCAGCAGAGGAGGCGGGGACTTCTGCCGGGCAGGAAGAGGCAACACCCGTAGACAGAGTTGACTGTCAGCTGCCGAGGATGGCAGACCTTTATGCGGGTCCCAATGTACCTCTGTCGAAAGCGTTCATTCTCTGTGGTTGGGAAACTATCTCAGTGGATTGGATGCTTGACCAGAGTCATGACTTATCCAACAGCCTCAGGCAGCAATCACTGCACGATCAGCTGCAATCAGTTTGTTTCATTGCAGCTGCCCTGGATTGTTCTACAAAGAGCCGGGCCAGAGAGATCCCCCGAGACTTTGGGGATGGCAGGCCACCACCCCGACCGTTGCGATCGGAGCAACACCCGCTGGGGCTTCCTGAGTTGACAGGGTCCCAGTACAGCAGGGTGGAGAAGGACAATGCAGCCGCCAGCTTTGTACTCTCCGAGATTGACCAGTTGGTGGACCGGGGGGGTGGCTCTGTCCGGGAGAACCCATACAATAGTCTTCATTGGTGGACGCCGGATGAAGTCAGCATGTGGGACAGTGGTCGGTGGTCAGACCAGCGGTACTCAGCATGTTGCTTTGGAGGTGCTAGGGCGAAGTTGCAACGCCTTAGGCACAACATTGCAGAGATTGCACAATGGCCCAGGGCTGACTGCAACCACTTTCATGACCCACAAGAATGGGAACCATGGATTCAGGATGGTCAACGGCACTACCCATCCGCTGAGGAGTCAGAGTACACAGCAGAACTTTGCTTCGCAATAGCTACCGCAGCATCGTGGTGGGCGGTGCGGGTTGGCCATGCCAAGTTGTATGTACCGCGTTCACCATCCCCTAGCTGTACCGGCCACAGGGATCACTGGCTTGACTTGGACCCCAGATCTCTCCGAGAATGGGCTATGACTCCCTTGGCGATCAGTCTGGGGCTGAGGCCGGTGGACACGGCTGAGGCGGCTAGAGTGCCAACCCGAGCTTGTGTCAATGAGGTGCTGCGACAGGGCGAGCTGCCCCCAGGGCACGTTTACGTGGGTATAGGCAACCATGCTCACCGCCTCTCTACAACAAAGTGGAAATCTCCCTGGCAAGTTGGGGTGAATTGCACGCCACAAGATTGGATTCCTCTCTTTGTCCAATACGTCAGAGAGACGTTATGGCAGGAGCTCGACGAGCTGGAAGGCAAGGTTTTGGTGTGTGATTGCCCAGCAGCGCAAACCTGCGAGGCCGACCTCTTGGCGGGGCTCGTGTTTGATCGGCTCAGTTTGAATAGCCATCGAGTAGCTCCACAAGTTGTCCAAGGATCGCATGGCAGGAGCCACACAGCAGTCACGCGTAGTGTCCTCTTGTCGAGCATAGCCAAAGCGACAGGCATTCCGTTTGGGCCATTCTACATCCTCCAGGAATCGTTGGCGCTGGCATTCAAGAAGCTCTACCCAGGTGATTGGTTTGAGGGTCTTTCCATCCCATTTGTTGAAGACTTGGTGAACCAGCACCCGCTTGATTTGTACATTCGATGGAGACACCAACAAGGGCTCGACATGGAAGGTAGCTGGAATCCAGTTCTAGCAGCCCCTTCCGTGCGACAGAAGATGCGGACGGCTGAGGGTCAGCAAGTGGGGGCCATCAACCACAGGGCAGCGCTGGCCCCATTGCTGCCGTTCCATCTCCAGCCAGACCAGCATTTTGAGCGTGCCTTGCAACTGAGCGTGCAACCTTTGCCTACAGAGGGGCTTCCGACATTGGATGATGATCTTCGCTTTGCGGCTTCCTTCTCAAGCCTGCCAGGAGTTGACCTGAGCAAGCTGAGGAAACGTGCAATGAGCCTGTTAGCCGAGATGAAACGGCGATGGAGCAAGATTACAGAGCATTTGAGAACCAAACAGACCGAGGCGATTCGGACGGCAACAGCACAGAGAGACGTTGGCTTCACAGCCATCCTGTTGTTGTTAGCCAACTGGGGCGATGTGACGCTGCCGGCTGGCCTTTGCATGGGGCTGCCCGCAGTGGGATATGCACCCCCCTACGGCATATTCCCAGAGCAGGAGGCATCCCGATTGACACGGGAAGACGTCCTTCGTGATTGGAGGACCCACAACAGGTGGATCCTGACTCGTCTGAGGCCTGGCGCTGATGATGAATTCATGTTGCAGCAGAGCCTCAAAGATGCTGAGAAAGGCTTCTGCAGCTTGCCGATGGATGCAGAGGAACTGCATGGTTTGCTTGGTGCAGAGCCTTATCGATTGATTCCCAGATGTGTGATCACACAATCTTCGGGGAAGCAAAGGGTGATTGATGATGCCTATGTCGGCTTGCAGTCTGAGCGTTCCAGCGACGCCAACAAACTTACCCTTTGCTCAGCCCTTCGTCCAGCTCAGCACCTACAATATGCCTACGCATATGGAGCACTCCCCATCTGGGACACAGAAGAATGGGAGTCTGGTGGTGAAGACTGGCCAGGTGCTTACAGATTTTGTCCCATGAGCCATGACGAAGCTTTGTGTTGTATTGTGGCCTTTTTCCACCACGAATGGCAGAAGCCAGCTTTTATGATTTATACTGGATTGCTTTTTGGTCTTCCCTTGGCAGTCACGTCCTTCAATCGTTACAGCAGGTTGGTGGAAGCTCTGTCACGCCGATTCACATTCTGCTTGACCAGTTTGTATTTTGATGATGCTCATGTGACGGACAGGAAGTCTTGCAAAGGATCAGGTCAACGAGCGATGCAGTTTCTCAATACCCTTCTAGGCACACCCTTCTCAGCAGAGAAGTGCCAGAGGATGCAACATTCAGGTACTTTCTTGGGACTTGATCATGATTTCAGTCAAATTCACACACAAGGCACCATCCAGTTTTGGGCACGTGAACGCATCGAACAGAAGCTACTCCATCTCATGAAGCATGCTGAGGATTCCAGCAAGCTTCAACCAGGAGTAGCTGCCAAGATCTATGGCATTGCCAATTTCTTCGAACTGGGAGTATGGGGGCGCATTGGTTGCGGAGGTTTAGCCCCAATCAAGCGCCGGCAACAGGAATGCACCTCAGAGTTGACTGAGGAGTTGCGTCGATGCTTCGACTTGCTGCGCGCTGTCATTGCTACCAAACCCTCCAGGACGATTGAGATCTGGCCACACGCAGGGCAACGCTTTCTGGCAGCCTCAGATGCAGCTTTGGAAATCCCAAGCCAAGGGACAGGAGGCTTTTTGATAGTCTGGCATGATGGCTGCGTCGAGCAACGGGAAGCATTTGTCTCGATCATCCCCCCCGTGGTGTACCACCTCTGGGAGCCGGGAGACACAAAGATTGCCCAACTGGAGCTGCTTCAGGTCCTCTACGCGTTGTTCACTCGTCCATCGACGTTTCGTGGCCGTAGAGGACTCTGGTTCATTGACAACACAGCGGCGCTGATGGCTCTGATTAGAGGTCGTTCAGACAATGCAGATTTAGAACATATGTCTCGCCTGATTCATGTCACTCTTTTTGCACTCAAAGCCTGGTTTTTCTGGGAGTGGATCCCTAGCAAGGCCAACTGGTCCGACGAGATCAGTCGAGAGGGCCTCCAGGCCACATGGCATAAGAGCCATGGGTTCACCACGCATTTCGCAGTTTTCCCCTTCGAGGTTTGGTCTCTACCACTTCCTGCGTTTCTCCAGGTCGTGGAGTTTCTCTAAGTGCTTTGGGAAGGAAGTGAAGTGCATTGGGAGAGATTCACCCTGTGTAGCCTCCTGGGTTGACAGGAGTGCGGAACAGGGAGTATGGATCTAACCAGTGCTGCTGTGCAGGAGGATACCTACACAGTTACCCAAAGCATTAATCCTGCTGGAGGCAGGTTGAGACCATACGAAGTGACAGGAAATGGAAAAAGGATATGCGGATGTGAACCGGGAGTGATTGAAAGTGTTTAACATCTATGCTTTACATCTCACATCTAATGTATGTATGCATCGTGTTCGGCAGGCACTGGGTGTGCATTATCATTAGGGTGAGTGTGTAAGTTGATGAATCCATTTTGGCTCAAGTCTGAGCCAAACTGGCTTCATCATTCTTTCTTTTCCCTCCCTTCCCTCCCTATGAGATAGGACTCCTGTGGAGTATCCTCTCTTGTAGGGGATCACATCATTGAGGATGTTGATCTCTACGTGTACTTACACGACGTAGCACTGGGTGGGAGAGATTCACCCTGTGTAGCCTCCTGGGTTGACAGGAGTGCGGAACAGGGAGTATGGATCTAACCAGTGCTGCTGTGCAGGAGGATACCTACACAGTTACCCAAAGCATTAATCCTGCTGGAGGCAGGTTGAGACCATACGAAGTGACAGGAAATGGAAAAAGGATATGCGGATGTGAACCGGGAGTGATTGAAAGTGTTTAACATCTATGCTTTACATCTCACATCTAATGTATATAAATATATATTATATTATATTATATATACAGTGAATGGTAGCTGTCGTTTAATGGACGTGGGCTGTTGTTGAGCCAACGGAGGCTTGTTTCTGCAAGGCACGTCCTGTCAATTTTTGGCCAGACATCAGAGTGCACACTTCGAGGTTCAAAGAGCCACGATCGCCCAGCAGTCGAAGCTTATCATTCGCACGCAGCAGAAGCCCTAAGGGCTATAGCGGGGAGGCACGCTGCACGGCATGGAGTGTGAGTTTTCAGATTGCCTGTAAGCGAATGCTCCAAGTATCTAAGACGTGGCAGTGATCCACAACTTACTTCTTATTTCGAGATTTGAAAGGTTTGCATCAGCATGTGAACCTGCTGAGAAGTGATCCTGAAATACAGTAATTAGATACAGGTCCTCTTCGCATGCAGCTCAAATTTACCTGCTCAGGATGACCATCAACAAAGTTGCATTGCATGGCCCTAGGGCTTTCTACAGTACATTTCTACATTTCTGATCATTTTTTTGCATTTTTGTCAATTTCGATGCTTTGCTTGGGTCTTTTGCACCAGGACAGCTCAGAAGACTCCCAGGAGAGGCGTTCCTTGCACGAGAGCAGTCAGTGAACGGAGTGTTGTGCAAAGTGGAACAGAACGGAAAACGTGCTTTGGGACACAAAACTGAGAAAAAGTATGAAAAAGGCATCCTTATTGCCTTCAAGTGTCTGTTGGTCTGCGCATCTGATTCAATGGGAGCTGCTACAATGTGGTTGTGCTGGCAGAAGGTCTATGGGTGTTTTCATTTTGTTTCCACCCCGCCACAATCCAGTCAGCTTGGGTAATCCAGCTGTTGTTGGGAAATGTGAAAACACAGATTCTTGTACCCTCTTTGATAAATGTGGCATTTCTGAGTGGAATTGAGGCCATATAATCTTGGAGATGATCTCAGTGGTCTCAGCGAAGTGCCGTGTTTGGTTTGAAAGCAACACTTTCCAGTGACTTGACAGCAGCACTTTAGAAGAGTTGTCAGTCATCACCTAGAGACTGGCACAAGCAGGGATTACAGAAGATTGGGGAGCTACACGCATGTGCAAGTGCCTGAAGGAATTCGAAGGGATCCCACCAAGATGTGGCAGTGTGGCAAGACAACATCTAGATGCCTTTCACGGGTGTAGCATATTGTAGCATTGCATCGTTTCGAAGTAAGAGGACTCCACTGTTTTGTTGAGCTCTCAGTAAAATGGCTGCACCCCTGCGGCATTGCGGGAGACACTCGATGAGGTGTGCTACCTTCGTGGTTTTGTTCATGGCTCTGTATCTGCCAGACATCTACGTGATCACAGATTCCGACTACTTGAGCTTAGACCCTTAGATCCATAGTTCTGAGGTCTAGTGCGAATGTTTCCTTGCCACATTCTTTGCAAGCTCCAACTCCAAAGCGGCTGAAACCTCTTGTGAATCAGCAAGCTTGGACATGAATCCACCAGTTGATGATCCTCTACGTATAAAGAAGCAGCTACTTTTTTTTGGCTCCGGACCATATTACCATGTCCTAAGCTTTTAGGCGAGGCCTCACAGGGCCATCAGGGGTACACACCTGCAATCTGGTAATTTGGAAGCACAGCTGGGACTGTTTTACAATCGTAATATTATATGAGCTATGGTCAATACTCATGGTTAATAAGGGCTAGTCATCCAATGGTTCATAGGGATTTATAATAACATATAATAACCATTATAAGGATCCTTATTATGGATGGGATGACCATCAACCATATAGTGAGTATTGACCATGGCTCCAAGCCGGTTCCCAGAGACCTGATGTAGCGGCTCCTGTGATCTCAGGATGTCCTCCTCACGCTCATTTTCATATTCTTCTCAACAGACTGCGCCATTCAGGTGGGACCAACGAAAGTTTCTAGCTGCCTTTGGGCCTGAAGTTTGACCGAAAACACCAAGTCTACAAGACTCGTCTTAGTGCCTTTGTGTTTGATCCTGTGTTTGATGTCCATGCGGAATCGTGGATTTCTTCACCCTGCAGGTGATCGGGTTTGGAAAGGCTTACATGCAACTTGGACCTTTGAGCTTGTCGCCGGCCTTTTTCCAGGAATCCGCATCGTGATTTTTCCGTCATTTTCATTCATTTTGTTTGTTGTCACTCTGTCATTCTCTAATTTTTACTCGGGAGTCCTGAATGCCTTGATTGACGCAAAGCACTGCAGAAAAAAACAGTCAAACATTTTACTGCTGAAGTCAAAGAAATGATTTTGGTCATCCTCAACGCTTTAGACTTTTGCAAATGAAATGTGAGTAAGACTACGATTGTGGGACATGATGGCGGCCTTTGAGTTGCTCCTTTTTCTTCATCATGGACGTGATTGGTACATTGTCTCTGCTTGTGGAATTCTCGGCTGTGAAGACACAGATGCAAGCGATACTTGGCTCAGGGATCTCAAACCTTGAGCTACATTTGATTTTTCTGCATTGGGTTCAATTATTTTAATAGCTAAATCAACATGAATCAACATCAGAAAGAGTAGAGTGAGCTGCGGCTTTGGGAAGCTTTGCCTGGCGGCTTCCGCCTGTTGGAGCCAATCTGTGATTCTCCTTCTGCTCTATTGTGCATCTTGCAGTTTACCTGGAAAGCAGTGATTGACTCGATACTTTCTGCTGATCATGTTAGTTTGTTTCGCCGAAGTGTGTTTCATACGGGACCCGAATGTAGTAGATGAATGTGAAGCACGGGAAGATCTGGGAGGTGCAATTGTTTGGTTCCTTCGCAGAGAAGCCATGCATGTACACTCTTCTCTCTTTCACGAAGCCTCACTCGGAGCTCAGATAGACTAATAGGGTCATAGGGCCGTAGGGTCTCAAGATTTTGCACACCGCTCAGGAATAACTTGACTCAGAGCTCCGTGGTGATGCGTGCTACAAGAGCTGCCAAAATTGGTGCACGCGCAGGGCGATTGACACGGCTGGTGAAACTGATGCCTGACAGAAAAATCTCACGGCATCGCCAGAGAATACCTTTGCCTTTGCCCATCTTTGCCCTGTTTCAATCTGTTTCATGTGCGTTTAGGAGGACTTTTAAAGACTAGTCAATTTTGGCTGTGAGATCTGTGAGTATCCAAGTCGAGTTTGAGCAAGTGTGTCAACCAAATCGATCTGGAATTTGTTTTCAATTCTTTCGGTTCTTGTCGAACCTTCACATTCGAAGCGTCCAAACTGATTCGACTGGACATGAGCTGGCATAAAAGATTGAATGTGTTCGTTTATTAACCGATGCGTAAATAAGCCTATATGCATCTATGTAAATCACTATAAATCTATATACATCTTTTCACAGTGTTGCAGCTGGGGAATTGAAACAGCTAGTTGTTCAACTCACAGTAAAAAGTTTTTGAGGAACGAGTCATTTCCAGAATCAACATGCTACTGTGCATTGGTAGATCGGGCCACAGAGCCAAGGATGAGATTCCTCCCGTTCCTCCGGAAGCGCAAGCAAGTCGTTTCCTGGCCTTTACTAATTTCGCTTGGGGTAGCACTTGTTTGCGACCACATATGGCATCATAATCATCATATGGCTACATATGGCCGCAGCAAGAGAATCCCCATTGAAATCCATTTATTTCTTTTCAGCATGAACATAATTAACCAGAAGAACCACAGTCAAACACAAGCCGCTGCTTGAAATGGAGACCATATTACAAATGAGAATTCCCGTTTTGCGCACAAGCTATGGGTATTTGGGATAGCTCTCAGTAGATTCTCTTTGACCTTGCCAAAGAAAATGCATGAATGTCCGGCCTTCATTTCTCCGATAGAGAACAAGAACCAATCATGTACAGCAAAGATGAAGTAAGAATCTTGTTTTGGCGGAACACTAAATGCTTCACTTTTTTGACACCCTCTCTCTCTCTCTCTCACGCTCTCTTTGCATGAGCTGCATTGATATGGCCCAGGCTGAGGAGAGCACGGCCAAGGCCTGGTTTTCGGGGTTTTTTGAGTCTGCAAAGGGTTCGACCGTTCGACCTTTACTTTTCTGTGGAGGGCTAATTATTTTAGGATTTTTTTTTGATCAGGTTTAGGAATTATTTTTGGATTCCTGCTTCTCTGCTTTTCCTGCTTTTCCTGCTTCTCTGCTTTCCTGCTTTTCCTGCTTTTCCTGCTTTTCCTGCTTCTCTGCTTTTCTGCTTTTTTGCTTTTCTGCTTCTCCTGCTTCTCGCCTTTTCTGCTTTTTTGCTTTTCTGCTTCTCCTGCTTCTCTGCTTCTCTGCTTTTCTGCTTTTTTGCTTTTCTGTTTTTCCTGTTTCTTTGCTTCTCTGCTTTTCCTGCTTTTCCTGCTTCTCTGCTTTTCTGCTTTTCCTGCTTCTTTGCCTTTCTGCTGTTTTGCTTTTGTGCGTTTCCTGTTTCTTTGCTTCTCTGCTTTTTTGCTTCTCTGCTTTTTTTTTGCTTTGCCTGCTTTAAATACTTGATTTTCATGTAAGATGCATTTTGCACAGTATTTACATCCCTGAGTATCACATGACCAACCTTCTCTTGAAAACTAGCAACGTAACATGTGAGAAGAGGTGCTTGCATTCTGCTTTGGGGGGAGGCGCTGCGCCCTCCCCCCAATCCCCCCCTCCCGCTTTTTTTTAATTTAAACTTAAACCCAAGTTACATTAGTTGGTTTTTGCGAACTAACCTTCTCTGGAAAGCTGACAGGATTACATGTGATAGATAGATAGATAGATAGATAGGTAGATAGATAGATAGATAGAGAGAGATAGATAGATAGATAGATAGATAGATAGATAGAGAGATAGATAGATAGATAGATCGATAGATAGATAGATAGATAGCCAGCTAGATAGATAGATAGCTAGAGAGATAGTTAGCTAGATACCTCGATAGATAGATGGCTAGATAGATAGCTAGATAGATAGATAGATAGATAGCTAGATAGATAGATAGCTTGGTAGATAGATAGCTAGATAGATAGATAGCCAGCTAGATAGATAGATAGCTAGAATGATAGATAGCTAGATACCTCGATAGATAGATGGCTAGATAGATAGCTAGATAGATAGCTAGATAGATAGATAGATAGCTAGCTAGATAGATAAAGAGGTAGCTAGATAGATAGCTAGATAGATAGATAGATAGATAGCTAGATATATAGCTCGATAGCTAGATAGCTGGATAGACAGCTGGATGGCTAGATAGATAGATAGCTAGATAGATAGAAAGCTAGATAGCTAGATAGATAGATAGTTAGCTAGATAGCTCGATAGCTAGATAGCTGGATAGACAGGTAGATAGATAGATAGATAGATAGAGAGAGAGAGATAGATAGATAGATAGATAGATAGATAGATAGATAGATAGAGAGATAGATAGATAGATAGATAGATCGATAGATAGATAGATAGATAGATAGCCAGCTAGATAGATAGATAGATAGCTAGAGAGATAGTTAGCTAGATACCTCGATAGATAGATGGCTAGATAGATAGCTAGATAGATAGCTAGATAGATAGCTAGATAGATAGATAGCTTGGTAGATAGATAGCTAGATAGATAGATAGCCAGCTAGATAGATAGATAGTTAGCTAGATAGCTCGATAGCTAGATAGCTGGATAGACAGCTGGATGGCTAGATAGATAGATAGATAGCTAGATAGATAGAAAGCTAGATAGCTAGATAGCTAGATAGTTAGCTAGATAGCTAGATAGGTAGAAAGATAGCTAGCAAGATAGCTAGATAGGTAGATAGATAGCTAGATAGATAGATAGCTTGCTAGATAGATAGCTAGCTTGCTAGATAGATAGCTAGCTAGATAGCTAGCTAGCTGGATAGATAGCTAGCGCCCTCCCTCAATCCCCCCCACCCGCTTTTTATCTAATCCCAAGCTTCCGCGTCTGTAAATATTTGGGTGAACATGCTCACATGTAGAACATCCCATGCAAAATGGAAGGTGAACATGCCAAAATGTGGCAATTCCATACAAAATGGAAGGTGAACATGCCCACATGTAGGAAATCCCATGCAAAATGGAAGGTGAACATGCCAAAATGTGGCAAATACCATACAAAATGGAAGGTGAACATGCCCACATGTAGTAAATCCCATGCAAAATGGAAGGTGAACATGCCCAAATGTGGCAAATACCATGCAAAATGACAAATTCAAGTTCCAAACCGTTGCAAACACTAGGCAAATGGTACCAGCCAAAAAATCCAAAAACAATTCCCAAACCTGCTCAAAAAAAAATTCCTAAAACTATTTCACACCCTTTTCTGTTGTCAAATCATGTCAAGCCAATCACAAAGGGTTCCATTGAGCGCGGCTGACAACTGGATTACTGTAGACAGGCCAGATCAGCAGAGGCTTTCTCACTTGATGATTCTTGATTCGGATGCTGAGGATCTCTGCAGATCTATGCAGAACACAAGAGAACACAAGAAAACACAAGAGAAGCAGTAGAGTCAGTAGAGTCAGTAGAGAAGCAGTAAATTGGCAGAGCTTCGGCGAGGTCATCAGCTCGAGGCTTATCTCCAGGGTTTCCTCCGTGGTGGCATGCCTCATCATTTTCTCAGTCCAGGCGCGGATAGGTGGAGCATGGTGGAGCCATGTCAGACAGCCCACAGCTCCACATGTTTTCCTTCTGACTCCTGTTCTTGAGCAGTTTGAGCTCAAGAAGTACTGACGTGCTTTGAGACAACATCAAGATTGCAAGCTTTGAGATTCTCAACAGCTTGAAAGATTCATTCTTGAACTTGAGCACATCAGCCAATTTTACTCTTGTCACTTTACTTGAAGCTTTATTTTTTCATGCCCAGGTGCTTCCTTTACCGGGGACCCTGTCAATGCCTGCGCAGGACACCGGTAGACTTCCCTTGTTGCATGTTGTTGCACTTTTTTTTGATTCCTGGTGCGTTTCGTTTTCGACCCATTTTCCGCATTGTTTCGTATGTTTCGTTTCTCTTTAGAGAAACCTTAGGACTTTTCCATTCAGATGTGGACCGAGCACCTTAGAAGATCGCTGGAGGCGGAACTGTGGATGTTATGAAGTCATGTCAGTCATATGTCAGTCATGTATAGTCATGTCACATCCAAGTCACATATGGTCTAAAATCATCTAAAATCATCTAAAATCTCAGCATTTTGCACTGTGAAAGATGCCCGTGCTCGCGAAAAGTAACAGACTGACAGAACCTTAATGTAGAGCTCTTCACATCCCTTTTTATGTTTTAATCAGGATGGGGACGATGCTGTGGCTGTGAACGATTTGGTGTCTGAATTTCGAGACACTTGGCTACAGCGGCATCAGAGCAGCTTTGCACATAAATTAATATAAATTATAATTAATTTTTCAAAGAAAGCAGTACTTGGCAAACATTCTAAAACCAGTGGTGTTCCCAAGAGAGGCGAGCAAATGAAAGTAATGGTTCACGTTTTTCTCCAGACTCCATATATATTGAAATCTCATTAATATCCCATTGAGATCGCCTTTTACCATCCTGTAAAAAAAATGGATGATCATGCCATCCAATTGGCTTGACCTTTGCAGTGTCCGTTGCAGATTTGGTAAGGCATTCTACCATGCCAAAACTTCATACCAGCCATACTCCTTCATGAACGGCACCCAGGCGATTGGGGGGTCAGATCAGAAGCCTAGGAGGGTGCGACCCAAACGCAATGGCTAATGTTGGTAAATATCCATGCTATATGTTGGTTAATACATGTTAGTTTCATTTTTCCATTCATATTTTGTCAGTGTAGTCAGTTTGCCCAATGACCAACATGACTTTGCCTATTCCACATTTGGGATGTTGCATTTGTTCTGCTAAAGCTTGCTTGCAAAGCGCAAGGTACTATTCTGAAACCAAATTCTGGACTTTCCCGAGGGCAAACTGCCAAACTGCTGATTGCATGGCATCAACCCACAGCAGTTTCGTTTGCATTCGTTTATATTCGTTTACTTTGAATATGCCAGGTTCTTTGGCAACGGCGTGGTCCAGCTTTGGCAGATCGAAGCATGAGGACCGGGACTACACCAATGTAATCTGTTTCAAGAATTCAAACATGGTGATATGACTCAGTGGAATGTCTTTTTTTGAGCAACTAGCTAGAGAGAGGGAGAGAACAGAAGAAATTGCGGCTGTTGCAGCTTCGACACAGGATCCAATATGGGAATGCCATCGTGCATTTCGATTTCAGCCATCAAGTGCACCTGGAAGCTGGCATGAACATGATTGTGCCCTTGAAGCAGAAGAGCACTCCAAACTCATGGATGACACTCTGGACACATTCGATCACATTCAACTTGTAAAATGTAGAGGGCGGCCACGGAAAAAAGCTGCAGGCTAAGCCGCTAAGCTCATGTGATCAGCTGATTCTTTCAGAGAGGCACAGCCTGCAGATGAGGTGATTACTTTGACAATCTTCTTGAGCTTCGGCAGGATGAGCCAACAATTTCCCTTGGCTGTGAGTCCAGGGGACACGCAAGGTGAAACAACACCCAGTGAAAATAACTCAGCAGATAAGTTTCAGTAGCAACTTGTGAAACTCCTTTCTCATCCTTTCTCAAAGTCGGGTTTATCCATTGGTCCATCATGGTCTATCCCTTTACATCTCCATCAGCCACGACCTTTCACTTCTCCAACAGCACCAGCTGTTGAGTGTCAGAATCCCGAACCAGTCCACACTACATGTCCTTATAACACCTTATACCATGAAAGTATATGAAAGCTTGGCAGTCCTGTGTTGACCATGCAAGTGGTTTCTAGGGATATTGATTCATGAAGCATCCTACAAAGCACTTTTCAAATCTTTTCAGCCCTTTTCATCTTCAACACGATGCACTTTGCATTCCCCATGCATAGCATTGATCTTGAAAGCATGGTGTTGGAAGCTTTGGAAGTACTACAAGCTTTTGCCTTTGACCCATCCGAACAGCTTCACATGAGAGAAAGGACCGCACACCTCAGTCACACTAAGTCACTAAGGATGGTGACTTTCTCACTTTTGATCTCCAGAGCCGTGTCGAAGCATGCGCTAACACCTTTGGAAATTCTGCTGCTGAAAGTCAGGCGGATGCAATTTTACTCGCTGAAGCTGGTGAAACCGTGAACAGTATGCAAAGCATGAACATGTAAACTACAACAAAATGAACTTTGAGTCAAAACTTTCATTGATTGACTCCGTTACTCCCAGGCTCCGAGGTAGACATGTGCAAATATGTTCATGTTTTGATTTTCATGCGGCCAGGAAGATCGGGCGACTGATCTGGCTGCAGGTAGAGTCGCTTCAATCCCACTTCAGACACTTTGCTTATTTTGTTGAAGACAACCTTGGCACTTTCACATCCTAGTTAGTCATCAACATTTTCACACCAATGCATGGAGCTTCAGAATTTGCGACATGTTCAAAAGGCAATCAATCCAGAACACTGTCATGTTTCTCCCTACAAACCAGATAAACCAGGGTTCAAGTCAGACGCTCCAAGGCCATGGAAACACCAAGAGCGCAAACAATGAATTTGCCAATGAGGATGAGACAGCACCGTGGCAGAAAAAACATATATAGAACAACCTTGCCAGAGGAATTTGGAGAACTGAGCTTTGAATCTTTGTCAATCTTTGTTCAGGCCAGCCAGGAGGGTTTGTCTGGGGATAAAGTACCATGGTTACCATAGTACCCCTAAATCCACTGCTTCACAATGGATTTTTACCATCATTTTCCCTCTTTTTCAATGGTCATTTGGTCATTTGGGTGGAAAAAACGGTTGTTACAACGGTATACCCCTGCAATGGTGGTGCTTGACCAAGGTGCTATTGCGGGATGTCTTGAGCAAGATCGGCGTGCTCAGCGCCATTAGGACACTTGGAAAAAGATTGGATGTTTCAATGGTGGGGTACTTTGAAATACATGATACTCTTTAATATAACATGATATGATATGATATAATACAGACAATATGACACAACATGATAGAATAGAAATGAATAGAAAGTACGTATATGGTCGTATATGTATATCCAATCTGGATTCAGCTGAGACAGGGTCAGAGCCCAGGCTGATGCGACCAGATGAGGATGCTCAAGCTCCTCGGCAGAGCTGAAACGGCCAGGTCCTTTGAAAGTTCTGCAGTGACTCCGAGCTGAGGCACTCGCTTTCCTGGGTACTGGTGCAGTTGTGCTGAAGCATGAGGAGGAGGAGGAAAACGTCAATAGGCCGGGTTTAGCGGCAATTCAGAAGCTCCGCTGTGCCAGAGAAGAATCATCGCAGCCAAATCAAGACTTCAAACGACCAAGTCAATTTCAAAGGGCCGTGCAACGCAGAAAGACTAGTTACTAATTAGTTGGCATCCCGACCCTCAATTTCCTATTGCACTACTGTTGCAATGTGCTGCCAGGGTTGCAAGCATCCACCAGCTTGACATAGCTTGACATAGCTTGACATAGCTTGACATAGCTTGACATAGCTTGACATGGTTTAACTGTTCTGGCTTGGATTTACTGTATCCACTCGTGCCCTATCAGATGTATCTATGAACAATTATTTATATATCTACACACATATAATATATATATATATATTATATATATATAGTGTGTGTATATATATAATATATATATATATGTAGATTATACATATCATACATATCATACATATCATACATATCATACATATCATACATATCATACACACATACCATTCCATTCCATACCATACCATACAATCCAATCCAATCCAATCCAATGCATTGCATTGCATTGCATTGCATGCATACATGCATGCATACATGCATACATGCATTACATTACATTACATCACATTGCATTGCATTACATGACATGACATGACATAACATTACATTACATTACATACATACATATATCATGGTTATTGTGGCTGTACTTGGTTATGCGACTTGGATTTGGATCACTCCAGAATCCTGTGCAGCTACCGGCTCAGGGAAGCGCTGGCTGTGCGATTGCAGACCGTGATCCAATTTGACCTGGAGAATTTAGAGGCTGAACGAGGGGAACAAGGTGATGGCTACCAAATCATGCCACATCTTTCGTGGAACATTCATTTAACATCTTTTCTTGGGTTCACCATGGTTCACCTGGGTACCAGGATTTTATAGGATTTTGACACATACCTAAGTTACCCAAGGGTCATGGGGCCTCAATTTGTCGACTGAGAACCTGGCGACAGGTCGAAAACATCACGACGTGGAGGCACCTGAAGGGAATAGGGTGGAGAGCACAGCATTGAGAGAATCAGAAGCTGCAAAGGTCCACACCGAGAGCACATGTACAGATGTACAGCTGAGCATTGGAATCAGTTCCTTGGATTTGTACAGATGTAACTATTGGGCTGTGCTTGGCAATGACAACTCGTCGTAGGTTCAATCCAATCGATTTTGAAGACCCAAGTACTGCACCTTTCGTGTCTTGGAAGCATCGATTGCAGAGCTGCTGGTGAAGCTCGCCTCCTGCCTCACGTTTAGTGCAAAGAAGCAACAGAGTGTCTACATGTACAGTCAACTGTATCTACATGTGTCAACAACATTCAATTGAATGGCGGACCTGGTGGAGAGCTTTATGATTGATAGCCTCATAACCTCACGAGCTTTTCAAATGTCATGCTTTCTCATGACCTTCCTCACCTTGTCTTCAAAGCCTCCGTCTTTCAATTACTTTCGGCATCGGCTCTTCAAATTGGTAGAGTGACCACACCTGAATCAGCATCATGATTGCAACCTGGCCGTGTTTGAAAATGAAAGTTGATTCCTTGTTGTTCAAGTTTGAACGGGCCGTTGTCCCACCTTGTTTACATGTCGTCCTGTGGTGTGCCGCTAAAGCAATGTCCCAAAGTTCCATAGCATCCCGTGACTCGGAACATGTCAGGGACACTATCCACACTTCTCAGGTTTGTGCCAAGTTGCTCACTACCTGCGTTCCACTTCCACTGAAACATGGTGGTGTCTCTGAGATAGTTGGCAGCTCAGAGCTAGCAACGTGCTGCAACCTTGGGCATCACAGAATGGTGATTTTCTTGTGCTGGGTATAGGTCAAAATCAATCAGCCGCCGCATAGGGTGGACAAACATTCCAGTGTAGGTTACTGAGCTATTCATGACCTATACTGCTATACCCATACGTAGGTATTCTGTTTGCTGTTTAGCTGTTCTCCAAGGCCCTAGGTGTTTGACCCGCAGTTTGCTATTTTGTTGATGTCGAACAGTAGCTGAAATTACCAGATTTCGAAGAGTCATCTAGCATCAAAACCGGCAGCAACCGAACAGGAAACCAACCTTGGTTGAATGATCAAGCACCCAGGGATATTGAAAACACGCGGACAATCGGAGCCAACAGCATGAATAGAACGAAGGGAACAAATGAACCACACAAACAGAGGGAAAAATCAAGATGAACAAAGTCAAGGAATAACAGGAAAAGATCAAACGCAACTTGATAGTAAAGCGAAAACAACAGCCAAGGCAAGAACAAACCAACATGTTCTGCTTTTGATTCTCTCTTCCTCAACAAAGATATGATAGAACTGCTAGTGCCCTCTGAGTCCGCATTCAAAGCTTGATGTTTTTTTTTGCCCTTTTTGCTTGGTATTTGTAGAGCCAACACAGCTTTCTTTGTTTAAAGTTTAAACTTTAAAGGTTCAAAGTCCATTTTTTTTCCTTTGCACCATTTATGTCCATTTATTACCTGGGCAAGATGTGTTACGTGTTTGATGGGACAGAAGACGACAGCATCTTGGAAAGTTGACGGTCCTTCTCACGAGGAGATTTCGGCCTTCGCTGAGACAGTTCAAGCGGGCTACTCCAAGTCCATACCGCATCTTGGCAGGCGGAAGGTTCCAGAAATGTGGGTTTGTTTGTCTGAAAATGATAGAAAAAAGACCACCCAAAACCGCTGGTTTATCATATTCTACCCATATTCTACCCATTCACATGATGAAAGGGGGAGATTTTCATCCATTTTCAGACACACCGGCCCATTTTTGGGCGACAAAAACGCACAGGAAATGCTTGAGCCAAACCATGCCAAACGTAATAGTTACAAAGCAGAACCACCTACTTATATATATATATATACACGGTACTTTGACACTTGGAACAGGGTTTCAATCCACTTAGTTCTCCATATTGAACAACAAGACCCACATATTGGTTCCATCAGCTATAATTTTGGTTGGTTTTGATTTTGTGGCTTTGTTTTGGGGCACCATTTGAAAACATTATAGAGTCACGAAGATGCAGGACAAGTTTAGATTTGACCAGTTGTTGACTCCACACACCGTGCATGCTTGAAGATTTGTCGCGCTTTTCTCCTTAGTGATAACGAGTTTTTTTGTTTTCCGCCTGCGAATTGTGTATCCCTTCACAGGCTTCGGCTCCTTGACTCAGCGAGGTCTCTTGATTTTTCCTTCACGTTGATCAGTCGGGCTTTCTTTCTGGATGGTCCTAGGTACCACAACTTCAATCATGCTGTGGATACGATGCACTCTGCCACTTGTCAGCACTTTCTTCACCCTTTGCTCAGGGCATTGAGCTTGCTTTGTTTAAGCAGAGTTTGGATCAGTCCCGGGCAGCTTCAACAGGCCTTGACTCTTCTATGAAGTATGAACACATGCATCCGGAAAAGCAATCCTCTGTTTGAGATATAGTCGCTTCTTTTGCATTGGCACAACGAACGAATGCGCAATCGAACGGATGTCACAATTTTTGATCATGCCAGGCACTTGAGATTTCAATTCACTTCCAGCAGCAGGTCGTTGCCTTTCCATAGAGATCCCTCTCTCCAGGTGTATGTGATCCTCCAAGAATGCCGACCGCTTTTCTCTGCGATTGAAACGTATCTCAGCTGCCTCCAGGGCAAAGTTTCCAAGCAGACGCTTTGACCTTTCTATTGTAAGTTCTGTCCGTATTTCTAGAGTCACACTTGATGTCCAATGTTAAGGAGCCTATTGACAATCAGACACTCCTATAGGATATTCGACAAGGTGTAGCAGTATGGTGTAATGGGACAGTGAACCTCGATGAAGTCAAACATGGCATATGCATACTATGCCGCCATGATGGCACCGACGTCTCAAGGTATACACTGTTGATGTGTGCAGCTGCCCATGATATTGGACATCCTGGGTTTAGCAATGAGCTTCCCGGCTGAATTCGGATGATCTTTTGAAAGAAAGTGAAATAGGTAGGTCTGCTGAAGCAGCTGACAGTTCTCTCTCAGACGAACGAGTGAATGGACACTTGAATCGGCAGAACCATCACAGGTGGCCATCGTTTATCGGTTACCACTCAGACTGAAGTCACGTAAATGTAAATCACAATGGGCCAAAAGCATCCAGAACAAAGACCCCACCGTACATAGATTAATTTGATTGAGTTGTGATCTGAAAGAACCTTTTTTGTTTCAGAAAGCCAGAATATCCATGAATATCCCTAGAAACACTTCAACTTCAAAAATCAGAGCTTCAAACATTTTCAAACGTAGATTTAAAATCCAGAGAGAACAAAGTCTGCACTTTTGGTGTACAATGAGATCCCGAAACGCATTCCTGACATTTCAGACGGCGACTCAACCCCGGGCGAGGTTCCTGGTACAGACGCAGCATGAACTGGCGCTGAGATATAATGACTCTGCGCCCTTGGAAAACATGCATTCTGCCAGGCTCTTTGAATCTTGGCGACAGAGGTGGGTGGAATTGAGACAGGACAGAGACAACAGTAATGTAACAGTAATGTACATGGTAAGCATGGGAAAGCCTCTATTGATTCTGTTTGAATCAAGAGGGAAACATCCGTTTGTCTCCAGGCCATCTCCGTGGAGATGGGAAGTCCTCAAGTGGAAGATTCTGTTTGAACAAAAACGACCTACAGAGTAAGAAAGCGATCGTCTCCAGCTCGCCCTCCTGGATTTTGACATTTATCCTGTGGTACGCACTCATGGGATCCTGCTTTTCTTAGCAGTACTCGTTGATTGAGTTCACCACAGTTTCGCAAAAGCAAGATTTATTTCGCGAAGGATGGTCGTTTCCGGATGAAAGAATTTAGATCAATCACCACTCATGGAAGCAATTCCATGAAGCTTTCAGTGGTCCAAGCCTGCGCCCACGGCTTAGGAGATTTTGTTGGATCCCTCCACGAACATCATTGGTCGACTGGAAGAATCTACTCGCAAGGACATCCGAAAGATGTCCATCGAGGCGGCACCTGCAGGGGTTTTCGTGAGCCTAGACCTAGATCAAGAAATTGTGTAGTACGATTGTATCTGTATAATATATATATACTAGTTTACTCATATATAATACACACACGTAAATCACAGTGATAGGTTACACACACACACGCATATATATATATATATCATTATATCATATTATATTATATATATACACATATTATATTATATTATATCATATATTTATATATTATATTATATCATATATATATATTATTATATATATATATATATTACTATATATCTTATATTATATGTATATTATATGTATATTATATTATATAATACTATATATATGTTATATTATACATATATATATGTATATATATATACACATAATATTACGGCCAGGCGCTGTGTGTTGCCCGGAAGGTTCAAATGGCGTTTAAACATGTTTAAACATTATCCTTCAACATGCTCAAACACCTGCGCAGGGCCAGTGTTTTGAGATTTCCCAGACGACGAACCCTAAACCCTAAAACCCTAAATCATCCTAAACCCTAAAACCCTAAACCCTAAAACCCTAAACCCTAAGACCCCAAGCCCTAAAACCCTAAACCCTAAAACCTAGGCTCTGAAAACTTTGAATCCTAAACTGGAAAACACTGCGTAAACGCAGTATTTTCTGCAATCTCTCCTATCATATATTCGACAGCACGACATTTTCAATGTTAATGTCTGGGCAACACACGGCGTCTGTGGGTAATATTATATACATTATATATATATATAAATACATATACATAATTTATGTATATATATAAATTATATATATTATATATACACATACATATATGTATACATATATGTATACATACATATATGTATAAATACATATATGTATAAATACATATATGTATACATACACATATGTATACAGAGGCTCGTCCCCGGTTTTGGATCTACATACGATGGGGTGGGGGGATGGGGTGGGATGTTAACGTTCATGTGAACTTGCAGAAGCAGTTGATGCTACGCACACGCGGGGTGGGGTGGGGGGGGATGGGGTGGGATGTTAACGTTCATGTGAACTTGCAGAAGCAGTTGATTGTAACTTGGTGGGGGTGGGGGTGGATGGGGAGGGATGTTAACGTTGATGTGAACTTGCAGATGATGATGATATAATGCTGCTGATGATGATGTGATGATGATGATGATGATGATGATGTTGTCATGATGATGATGATGCTGATGATGATGATGATGACCCTAATGAAACTTGTCAATTCCAGGACAAAATTTCGTCCCGGAATTGACAAGTTTTACAAACCTAATTCGGGTTGTGCGCAGTTCCAAGACCGGGGACGAGGCTATACATACATAAATGTATACATACATTGCATTACATTACATTACATTGCATTGCATTGCATTACATTACATTACATACAATACATACCATATATACCATATATACCATCCATACAACACGTACAACACATACAACACATACAACACATACAACACATACATACATACATACATACATACATACGATAGGATACCATACCATACCATACCATACCATACCATACCATACCATACATACAATAAATAAATACATACATACATACATACACACACATACACACACATACACACACACACACATACATACACACATACACACATACACACATACACACATACACACATTCACACATACACACATTCACACACACACATACACATACACACCATACACATACACACCATACCATGCCATGCCATGCCATGCCATGCCATGCCATGCCATACATACAAACATACAAACATACATACATACATACTTACTTACTTACTTACTTACTTACATTACTTACATTACATTACATTACATTGCATTGCATTGCATTGCATTACATTACATGACATTACATTACATACAGACAGACATACATACATACAGACATACAAACATACAGACATACAGACATACAGACATACAGACATACAGGCATACAGGCATACAGACATACAGACATACAGACATACAGACATACACATACAGACAGACATACATACATGCATGCATGCATGCATACATACATACATACGTAGGTTAAGTAGCATTTGAAAAAATTGCCCAGGCTGGCACCTGCACCTTTGGGCTTCTGTAGTTTGCAAGATGTTTCTTTTCATGAAAAGAACATCAAGGCCACTGTTTTACTTGTCTTAACTCGACTCAGAGTTGAGACACTGCGCCGCAGATCACCTTTGCATCAGGCCATTCTGCACACAGACAACAGTTTCCACTTCAATGCCGGCAACCCAGAGTGCAGTGCTAAATGCCGTGAACTTTGGAGCCCTAGATCCTAAGAGTTGATGCATCAATCTGGGGTAAGCCACCATTTTTATTCAATCTGAAGCAACCGGATGCAGTGTGCAAAGAATTGCCAATATTGTGCTGGCTGCCATGCCCCAGGAAGTGAAAGCTCTGCAGATGATCCACGAAGTTCACGACGAGGACTTCCGGCAAACATGTGCCAGGCCAGAGGAGTCGGGAGGAACCTTTCGACATGGTTCGACCTTTTGGTGCCCCGCATGGCAACGGTCCTCAGGGTCTTCCACATCTTTTTGGGTATTTTTTGGCTGTTTTCAGTTTTCAATGCAATGGCAACGGTCTTCTCACTTCTTTTTTGGCATTCTCATGATTCCCGAGCAAGAATAGAGAAGACCTCACAACAAAAGAGTTCCAAGATGTTCAAAGGGCATGTGAAAGAGAAGAGCCAAGAAAGGCAGCTCAACGTAGCTCAACTCGGGAATCAGCCTCAACATTGGAAAACAACTATGCCAGTCCAAAGCTTGTGCACGATTGAAACTCGTAAACAAAACAGAACAGTTGAAATGCGGCAGACGGAAGGGAGAGAAGGAATTGAGCAGTGGCCAACGGCCTGACAGGACAATAGGCAGTATCAAACTGGATGATGGTTTAGAGAACATGGCATAGGAAGGCAAATGTAAGGAAGCAAGCAGAGCAAGTGGTGTACAAAAATTACGAACTTTAGAACAAACGAGGCGGCAAGTCATTTGAGGAAGCGAACCCACTTGTATCCGCAATTGTAGGATGCCTTCATGGCTTCCCAAGCTTTGGCTATCTTGAACTACCTTGAATACTTGAACACTTTGAGTTTTGGCGTGTTACCAGGTCCAAAGGCTATTGTCCCCTGCATCAATCTTGCAAGTTCCTGTTTTCTGCAGAATATTCTATGGGTTGGTCGCCAGTTGGGGCGGATTGTGTTTGCATCCAGCGAGGGCAATTTGTTATAATTTGCTTACAACTCGTTGTTCACGCGCTGTATCGCCGCCAGATTCATCCCGGGCGACGATGAAAACGATTGGCCGGGTGAGGACGAGCTATTGATACTGTTCATAGACGTCAATAGAAATCCTGCACCCCAAAGGAAGAACCGTCCTTGGGCCCAACCATGGGAAAATCACAACATTCTCCCAGTGGGGATTTTCCCATAATGCCAACATTACATCGGTAAATCAGCCATTGGAAAATACTTGAAATGTTTTGGATCCCAGTGCTTGCTACTTCTTACACATTTTGAACATCTGACCACAATGGAGATTCTCAAGCAGCTCATCATTCGCAGGATATCATTGCTATTTTCGGAGAGAAGGACACCCGTGACACCATCAGGCAAGGGCACCGTCCTGTTGCCTACTTGAAAGAGTCCGTCAACCACGTTTCAGAGTGTTTGGTAAATTCTGCTGCAGGGACAGCAATACGAAACAAGGGCTCGTTTCCTATCTTGAGTCCTCCTGACATTTGAGTCAGGTCACCAACTTGCTATTTCCCAGGCAAAATAAAGTCAGCGAAAGAACAAGCCACTTCTATACATTCACTTGCATCCATTTGTTATGTCATGCCACACACACACACTGGGATAATGATCTCCACATTTCATGACTGTTGCCGAATTTTTTGGACACTTTGGGTTTGATTTCATTGTGTGCAGCAGGAATGTCCTTCTCCACTATGCGGACATTTCAAACTCCATGAAGCCTTTCTCTATAGCCCGATGCTTGCCAAATCTTATGCATCAGATCAGAGATCTTCAACATGTTAGACATCAACAACTTTGACACCTGCATTCAAGGTGTCACTGAAAATGATGCTCAGTGTTGAGACTCTTGTACACCAAGGAGTCTGGGCTGACTTGGTGCTAGAAGAGTCTCTTAGCATGGCTGAGGATTGGGCATGGCCTGGATTGAGGCAGCTAAGTATCAGCAAAGACCGAGAGTGTGACTCCACAAGATCCATTCTTTTTTGCAGCTGCTGCTGCCAAGACTGCTTTGGAAGATCCTCATCGGCCTAATGGTTTTCCTGGATTTTCTGGCCCAGAGCCCTTACACCGCCCCAAAACAAGCGTCTCCCAAGGGCAGCATTTGTTCGGCACATCTGGGCACAATGCCTTCTGGATTTGTCTGAGGTTTTTCGTTCAAGGAGACAAGTTGAAAGAATTGGGTCTTCCAGTCCCAGCTCTGAATGACCGGGCGAAGACGCAGCGACCTTTGACGGCAAATATGTCAAAGATATGTCAAAGGTATGTTGCTGGCGTTTTGTTTCCTTTCAAGTTGTGTAGTTCATAGTTGTTTCTGTACTTGTGTCGCTTTGGAGTCTAGCTTTGCCGCATGTATTAGCAGCCACGTGATTTCATGATATAGAGGAAGCGCAGAACAGCTGAGCAATTCAACCATAGAATCTAGCAATTAGGCCCCCTTAGCGCGGTCAAGACAGAGAAATGTGAAAGGGGGAGAGCCGAGATTGCGGGATTTGACTGGCCTGCGGCACAGCAAACCATGGATCGAGGTCCAACTTCGCAGATTGGTTTCATTGAGTTCATTGTATCACCTTTGGTCTTCACAATTGACACTTGGTGGAAT